TCCTGCTACTAAACTCATTCACTAATCTCCAGGAAGAGTGCAGATGAACACAGCCAAAAGTTATGTCACTTTTTATTTGAGTTAATATTCATAGACATGTTTTGAGGTACATGACCAGCTCTATTTTTTTTGTTCATTTTTGTACATGAACATCTTCAGAAGTTCAGTCAAGATATCATGAAAGCAAGATAGAGAGAATCATTCAAGCAAAGTCAGACTAGAAGGGAGATTTTGAAAATGTAAAGGAGGGAACAGACTTTGTATATGCTTTTTTTTTTGGCATTCTTTTAAAGAGTATAGGTAGATCACAGGGGAGGGGAGAATAAAAGAATACATCTTGCCCTTATTTAGCAAAGCACTTATGTGTTTAAAATTAAGCATATCCTTAAGTGTTTTGCTGAATTGAAGCCTTGGAGAGTAGTGAATGAAGAAAAGATATAGGGGAAAAATGATCACTTTTTTAAAAGTGGAAATGGTTCAAATTAAAACTACCTACCATACGGTGATTATTTTAGAGGATTTTGTTCCTTTTAGAAGCAATATTTATAAACATACATTAAAATGCCTATGTTTTCACCTCTGACCATCAAAGAGGTGTCACAATCAATAGATCTGCAAATGTAATTTGTATAAATGGAGATGTGCAGGTTGACAACTGGTCTATAATTTCACCCCTAGTACTTTCTTTTTCTATGTGGAATTTTACAGAACTTTATTTTGCATTTACCAGTATTGCTAATATTGGTTACAATGGACATTTCAGACTCTTTTGCTGAAAACAGTTATTTAAAACAAGCCCCATATACTTTCACATTTTTTCCAGCTCCAAAAAACGCTTAATATGAATTATCTACATGCATTTAAAAAGACAGTGCCAAATAGTCTCACACCCATAGATTGGTTCTAGTTTTTAAAACTTTTCCAAAAACTTCATCTTAATAGAAATGGTTTTGTGAATTAAACATTTTCAGTGAAACATTTTAATCTAAAATTTACCTTTCACTTAGTTATATTATTTGTAAACCAAATCTTGCATCAATTTAGCAGTGCATGAAAACTAGGCAAGAAACCAACTAATGGGGTGGGGGAAAAGACTCTGAAACTGATCTATTTTCATTGTCCCACTGAGTGAAATACATAATGTAAACAAACAGCTTAAAAGATGAAGAGCATTTAGATTTTAAAAGCTGTTTCAGTTCAATGATCTAACCCATGATCAGTAACACCACAGGCAATTGCAGTGGAGTCATTTCCTTACAGCCTGTATGTCATATGCAATGCAACAACACCAAAAAGTCCTCCCAGAGAATGAGGATACCTTTATTTTCCCTGTCTGCTTCTTTTTTCCCTGGGATATATTTTGACCATTTTGAAAAACCATGCAGCTTGAGATAGTGACAGAGTTTTTGATTAGTCTTGAAAGTGTCTACTTCCAAAGATGATGGTTCCTAGCTGCAAGTCTCCTCAAACTCACTGTATGGAGATGAAGCTAAAGAGGTTTTAGACTCTCCATCACTGTTGCATTCCCTTCTTAAACCAGCACTGGAAGTATCCATCGTTGTCTTAGTAGAGAGAGTTTCTTTGGTGTTGGTCCCTAAAGGCTGACAATCCAACAAACTCTGAAGATGTTTAATGTAACTTATTGCAGCTCTTAGGGTCTCCACTTTGCTGAGGCGCTTGTCAGCAAGTTCCTTGGGAAGATGGTCTCGGAGGCGTGCATACCCTTCATTCACACAGCGCACCCTTTGCCTCTCTCTCTCATTCCTCTTTCGAATGAAGGCAGGCTCAAAAGAATAATCATAGACTCCTACATATCCAGGAAATGGCATGTAGGAAAATGTACCTGCATGGCTGCAATAGGCTTGGTCCCAATATGTTGGATTGAAATGGAAGGAAATGCCAAATGGTTCTCTTAGTGGTAACCCATATGGAGTTACACGGCTGCTACCCATGGCCAGAGCTCCAGAGAGTGACATTCTGTTTAGTAGTCCATCATCTTTGTTACTATCCATTTTCACTAGTGCAAGATCAGTTCCCAGATTTGGCTTCCAAGCTTGTATTAATCCATGTGTGGAAGAAACAATTGTATTGGTGTTTGTCTTCTGTCCCACAGCCTACTTCTATTTTTTTAATTTTTTTTTTTTTGTAGCTTAAACTTCTATCCAGATTTCAGTGCAAAACTAATGATCCATGAAGTCCACTGTATGCCTGAGAATCAGCTCTAAGTCTGGGTCTTTTATAGATGCAGAATGCCATCTAATTTATAGACAGGTCTTGAGGATCATCAATCCACACTTTTTTTTAAACCCAGCTTTTCCCTCTGATCTTCATATTTCAAAAGATAATAAGAGGATTCCTGTATTCCTTTTCTCTTAGCTTGAAAGTGTGACCAGAGAATTAACACCAAACATAAATAATCTTCTAGGCTCTAAACGCTTCTCATGTATTGTAATCCACGGCATCTTTTGATATAATTGTCTCCAAAAGATGGGTAATTTACAAAGTTTACAGGGATCTTCAAAGTATTGGCAGAACTCCTCCCTCTCAGGAACCAAGGATCTCCTGTCATCTGAAAAACTAGCCAAAGGCTTTTCCTACTGAAATCCAAAATGCAAGTGCAGCCTTTGTTGTTTCTGCTGCTTGGGTCTATCTGAAATGGCTCTCAATCAGTTTGCAAAACTTGCATGGTATCTTTCCAGCTTTCTGGGGAGGCTGAGATCATCCAAGGGAAGAGTGCTCTCTTGTGGTTGAAAGCATGTCAGATAGAAAAACAGGATGAGAAATCTATGTTTTATAGGGGGGATTCTTCAGTTGCAAGGGGAGACATTTTCAAGAAGTTAAGAGGAGAGCTAGTACAATGCACTGAAAATGCATTGTTGCATACTTTTGCAATTACAAGGTACTTGACTTGATGCTACCCCGTGTTATGGCCCCTGCTCTACTTGGACAGCTGAGGATTCCTTTGATACTTGTGAGTTCTGTGCCTCCTCTGACTGCCAACAGGAAAGTTGGCCAGGATGCTCTTACCACTTGAGGGACAAATAAACCCTACCTCCCACTTTTCCATATGATGGCCTGTTCCAGGGATTTCTTCTGCAGTATCATGGGGGGTGTATTTTATCAGTCAGTGTGTTCTATACCTGCAAACTTTTAGGAGACATTTGTCTAATTTATAGGATTTGCCCATGTTTTGCCAGGAATGAGCAACTTTGGTGAGGTGACCACCCAGTGTAGTGAGCAACAGTGTGGGACATAAAGTGAAAAGTTCAATGGATGTGTAGATATTGTCACAAATGTTCAGTGGCTCAAAGTGCAAGTTAGCATCCCTTACTCAGTGTTTTCATGATAAACTCTCCCAGAAGAGTAAGTTCCTAAACAGCCTCCACTCTGAGAAATTTGCTTATGTCATGGGTGAGTTAAAAAAAGTTCATAATGACATCAGCATGCCTTTAAAAAAAAGTGTGCTCTTGCATTTTTTTGCATGCCTATCTTGCACTAAAAAATCATACTAGTCCTTTCTAGCCTCAAAGGGCATGCCTATAGCCTCTGGCCTTACTAGGGAACATTGCCCTCTTTCTCTCATACCTGCTTTGTGACTGCCACATATTGAAAAAAATGTAATGTGGCCACTATTTGGTATACATCCAGGGTGCACACAGTGATGCATCTAGGCTCAGGTGTTCTCACTGGTGCACACCCAGAGCTACTCTAACAGTGGCTATGCTCCATTTTGAGAGGATTTGGTGGAAACAAGTGTGCAGGGCATGCTTTGACTGCAGTGTTTCCTAGCATAATCGGAGAACGAATAAGCATGCCCAAAATGTCAGAACACAGTGGGTCACAATGGACTACTCTACAATTATATAGCTTTTACTATCATGAAACTAGGGAGAGGGTCTTCCTTGTATTTAGACCTCACTCTGAAGCTTTGCAACACTTTCACTACAGTGTTGTGCTAGACCAGGAAATGAAACTCTGTCTAGAAACAAGTGGGATGCTGACCCATCTGTTTTCATTGTCCAGCTCAAAAAAGTAAGCACCATAAGTAGAGAGAAGTAAATTAGATTTTTTTAAAGCTATGTGACTTTTTTTTTAATTGACTGTGTCTGTCGGCATAAGGAAATAAAAGAATGCCTTTCAGCTGTTAAAATTCTAGATGTTCTTTGAGTTCTCCAAAGCCTTTCCTAATGCCTCACTGTGTTCAAAGGCCAGAATTATATTTCAGTTCTGTAACAAATGCCTTTCTCAATTACCAGGCTTTTTTCCATGTTTACTGTAAACGCAGCGCACCTGCAGTTTCCAGTGCAGAAATCCCACCTGTGTTAAAGGGATGCTCTGTTTCCCTAATGTAAATCTAGCTTCTTAATTCTTAAAAAAAAAAGAAAAAAAAGGAAAGAAAATTCTCACAAGAGAACACAAACATTGATCTGAGGGATTAGAAGAGCTGTTTTCATATCAAGCAGAGTCAATAGGGCTCTGATTTAATTGCTTCAGCAACATGAGATAAATGAGACCTTACCACTAGGTTTTATTGAATGCATTATTGTGCTGACAAGCTAATATAATTCTCCTAGAGTGCAAATATTATTTGTGCAGAGAGCCAGCACATGGCCTGTTCACCATGAATCCCATCTGAGCTCTATTTTGATATCTTAAGTGGGACTACAGTGCTTCATGTCATGACCCCCTTTGTGTAGAGCAGATCCTAGTCATTTTATCTACAAAAGCAGGTCCACTGAAATAAAATGAACAGGATTTGGCCCATCGTAAAATAAGCTTAAAATTCATAAGCACTTTCATCTTAAATTCAAAATGTGATTAAGACCACAGGGGAGTTGGATCCAAGAAAAAAATGCTCCTTCGGGGTCTTTTGTTTTGAACACTTTGATCTCCTTTCTTGAGTTCCCTCAAATTCCTCTTCTTGTTGCCTTCCCCCTACAAGAGGCTTTGCTCTCCTTACACAGTCCTTTTCAACCTGGCTAGAATTTTAGGATCTGATTTGGCTCTTGCCTTGCGTGAAACCAGGAGTTGCTCCATGGTAGTAACGTGGCTATGAGAAGAGTGACTGTTTCTCTGCATCAAGACCTCTTAGGCCCCTGGAAATCGGTCTCAATGTTTAGGGATCTTTTCTTAATCTACCTCTACTTAAAGTCAATCTTTCCTTTCTTTTCCTCATGTCTTTATGACAAGGTATTGAGCAGAATTCCCAGATTAATTGGAATTTGACAGGGCTGTGCTGTGAGCACTTCTGCTATGCCCTTGAACTTGTGACCTCTGGGCTGTCAACTGTGCTCTTTAGCAGCAGCCACCACAGCCTCCTAAAATCAATCTTCTTAATTTGGAGACTTGCATTAGTATATTCCACAATATTTCTGTCTTCCACAGTGTTGTGTGTCCATTCTTCTTTTCTTGTGCTTCAGTGTTTCCTTTTAATTATCTATCTGCAACTACTAGAACATACTGCCTGCATAAATGAAAATAAAATAGAAATTATTATTCCTTTCAGATGCAACTTAGTCATGGTTTTAATTGTACATCACATACACAATGATTCGTACAATCAAAATAATATAATCTTTATGGTGTGACAGCTACAAAAAAACTTGACAACACATATCATTACCTTTCTAACCTACTATCAATGCTATTTATACTTTATATGGACAGGGCTAGTCTAACCATTAAGCAAACTAGGCGGTCACCTAGGGTGCCAAGATTTGGGGGGCACCAAAATTATATGCAGAACAAAATAACAGGAACATTATTCTCAATAACAGCCCTGACCGGCTGTTATAACTCTGTTAGGGTTAATGAAAAGTGTGAAACAATCAATAATTGTTTTTTGTTTTTATGGTTTTATTGTTCATTTCGAATATCAAATAAGTACATGTAAAAGTTCATTCTAGACTTCTTATTTTCCTCTATATTGGAGGTGGTGGGGGCACCGAGGTACACAGTTCACCTAGGATGCCAATTACCCTTGGATCAGCCCTGTATATGGAATAAGATATATTGACTAGTATTATTCTTGTGTCAACCCTTGAATTACCCAGTGACAGATTCACAGCAATGACTTTCTTCTGACAAAGATTATCTTTGGATCTTGTCAGGAATTAGCCTTATTGATGAAAATACTGGTGTAGAAATACAGGATCCAGTTAAATGTATACAATTCTACCTATCTATTCCCAGCTGATAATATAAAACTTTTTTTTACCTGCAAAGCTAGAGCACAGGAAGGAGAAGAAAATGATTAAGGAATAAACAAAATAAAAAATAAAAAAGTTATGCATATGGGAAACTTCTTAGTTTGTCTCTGTCATTGAAATTTATTATTATTGTGGTTGTAATGTTTTTTTTCTTTAAATGTGGAGTCTCTCCAGTTTAACAGCTAAAAAATAGGAGATGGATCTAATCCATCTAGGTTCTTGTATTGTCTCCAAATAATGGACTAAGTGCAGTGGTCTTTGCATAACCCCTATCTCATGCAGTTCTATTTGCGATAGTAAAAGCTATTAGTACTTCTACACACACATCTGTCTCCTATCCTTTCTTTCTGCTGGGACAATACCACCAACTCTCCAAATGAAGGAAGGCTTCTTTCAGCATCCAGCAGCTGATAGAAGGTGCATATAGTAATTGTACCTTCCTAGGGTTTACTTCATATCCCACCAGCACAGCTGATGAATTGAAGCCATGTGGATTTGGTAGAAGCTACACAGAGTTGCCAGAGGCTGCACAGGTGTATGCACATTTTTTGGTCCTTTCCAGGGGCAGTTGCTATCTGTTATAAACTTCTAGCAGAATCCTCCAGTACAGTTAAGGTCTAAGATTTCAGGATATTTCCAGTATCTAATGATAACCTGAAGATAGCTCTGTGACTTGCTACAAAGCCAGCAGGTACTGTAGGGGGATGACAAGACACTAGGTTTCCAATAAGCACAGTGCACTTGTCCTATTAATTCATCTTGACAGCATATATTGCTACCTTTCCAACCTTCTATCAATGTTATTCACACTGTTTATGCAATAAATTGGAATATAATAGTTTTCTTGCATAAATCTGGTAAAGGCTGTCAGCACAGAAATCATGGCTTTGCTTTGGGAATAAATGCTCCTAAGGAGTTGTAGATGCTTGTGGTATTGGAGGATTTTCTTCTCCTTCATATATTACATCTCCTCAGACATCCAGGGTGCAGAGTGAAGTTCCATTTGTTGCGTGATCGGCTCCCTGGAAGGGCTCTAGAGCCACACGTGAATGGCTGCAGAGCGCTTTTAAAGTGACTGATCTGGAGGTGGGGGGTGGATTGGATCCTCTGTGCCTTGCAGTGCCCACCCCACCCAGTCCACTCACTCCCCCTCCCTTCTTGCAGACAGCACCGGAGTTGGGAGAGGGGGCAACGGTAGGGGAGAGGGTTGTCTACTCCACTA